GCTATACTTAGAAGGTTATATTGTTTATACACAAAATTAATAATAATTATTGTTAATGGGAATAAAATAAAAATAAAATTTCTGTAAATGATATTTGATAATTCTCACCTACCGTTATTCTGTTTCTCACACACTGGTTCTTATACATTTTATGCTAATTTTCATTTTCATGTTCATGGCATGTCTTAATGCTGGTGAAATATGTTTAGTTGTGCTCTGTATCTGGGATCTCCACACTATGGCCCGCAAAAGATTCTTTGATTACATGTAAAATTTTTAAAACTATTTAAAAACATGAACTTTAGCAAATTACTGACACACAAGGTTACTACATTTATTGCATTTTTTTTTTCTCTTTGAAAGCTCATTTCACAGCTGAAGTGTCAAGTATCGAGCAAGCTTTGTTTTTCCATCACAAGCCATGGCCTACAGGGCTTATGTGGGGGAATCAATGCGGCTTTTGAACTTATTGTCAATATGGCTTGCAGGTCAAAAAGTTTGGAGACCTCTGTTCTATATAATCACGTATTTTTTTTTATTTTAGAAGGCTATTTAATATAGATTAGTGATGTTACACTGGTTTCACAACTTTGTTGACAATTATGCATTTTGAATGGTTATAATAAGGATGTCAACAAATATAGCAATTCTTAAAAAGGTTATATCATTTATAAACAAAAAAAAAATTATAGATAACAGAAACAAAACAAAAATAAAATTTTTGTTGGCGATATTTGATTTCTCACAGACTTGATATTAATTTTCATTGTAATGTTGACAGAATATCTTAATAGTGGCAAAATGTTTTCTGTACTCTATATCAACATTTGTTTTTTGATTTTATAAGGCTATTTAATATCAATTAGTGCTGCTACAGTTTCATTAACATCTGGTTTAATTAATATTTATTTATAATCGGCCCAATGAAATGACACCCCCATTCTTGTTAATTTGAGCAGCTACCTGTAAGTTATCACCAAAAATAACCAAAAGGCCAACTGCTGTATTAGTTACCCACAAATACCAATAGCAGTACATGTTAGAATAGAACAATGGATTGATGGAGATCTGATAATCAATGAAAGTAAACAAGAGTACTAGGAAACTTGCTTAGAGTAATAACTTGATAACTGATTTAACATGATGACTGGGGCATGAAATTGATTTTATGTTACAAGAGTAACTAATTTAAAAAAAGTAATCAAACGGTTACATTATATTAAAAAAAATATATATGTTTCCGAACTTCAAAATAATACTTTACCATTAGAACGCATCTTCATCCTTCTGGCATTTTGATAGAGACGCCTTTCAAACCTATCAATAATCCTTATTTCTTCAAGATCCATGTGACGATGATGTTCTTTCCTCTTCACTGCCTCACGGAAAAGCCGATGAAGATCATGAAGTTTCGTGTCATCAAGAATCCTTGAACTCCTTCTCTTCTTCTCCCGATGCTTAACTTCGTTTGACATATCTGACATTATCATTCAAGTTATTTTTAACTGCAAATTCGTTGGTTTACAAAATCGGGCTCGTTTAGGACTCGTTCACTGGAGTACAAGGAGGTATACATGGGTTACAATCTTTAATTAATAACTGCAAGTAAAACGATTATTTCGAAATAAGCTTATCAATCATAACTGGTTTGTGAAAACAATTACAGAGACAACGGGTTGAAACACTAAAATATACTAAAAATCAAAGATAGAATGATGTGTCAACTTATTAAATAAACAATAAGTTTACCTACTACACAATTCTTACAAATTAGTAACAATAAATATTCAAAACTATTGAATATCTTAAAATATTAATTATATAAAATTGATTAACTTTAATACTGATATAGGAAATTGTCTTTATAGAGCAAACGGTTTTTGGCAGAGATAGCATAACAAATCATACATCTATTAAGCTATCTCTTCCAGATAGATGAGAGAAATGGAAGTTATTGAACTTCAGTAACTCTAAAATTTAAGTGTTCTGGAACCACTATTTTCTCCTCCCCCCTTATTATTTTCAAAGTAAGTGTAGTTCAATTTGTAATTGTAATTGAATAACAATTTCAACAAGTAAAATACGTCCAAGTTGTAAATTTTTGATCTTAATTAGTAAATAATGAGGATATTAGTCATGATAAATTGTTGGAATCTTTTTTAACCTCCTATTTGTGAATTTCTTGCATAAGAGCGAGTTATTCTACAGGCTACTAACGTACTCTAACCAGAATGGAATGATTGAGATTCATTCTGTGAGATTCACCATCGCGCCCTATGATGGAAAATTAGTGTTTGGTGAATTTGTTGACCTTTTTGAAGTAAAGGGAAGAGGAGGTAACAGAAGTTCCCCCCCCCCCTCCCTCCCTCCCAAAATAACTAGTTTCTGCCTAATAGTCATGATACCGCTAGTTGTGATTTCTTTATTTTAGCAGACTGATTGACAGAGGATACTAAGGAAACATTTGAAATCATCAACTCTTTTTGAATTCGTGGAAAACTTTGTATACCTGCTTATTTTGTGAAAGAAACAGATCTTCAAGGACCAATTAATCATATTTTCATATGGTTTCTTTTTTTCTTCCATAATAATTAAAGTTATACAGGGTGTCCCTTAACAAGAGGCAAATATTTAAATGATTGATAGCAGATCTCAAGAGCATAAACAATACTCCGATTATCTACAGAAAACTGGAAAGTTTGTTATTTTAAGTATATCACGTTTTTTGTTGAATAAGAAGCGTTCAACTACAAATATATTTAATGTAAATAATTAACAACCATTCCACAGTAAACTATACAAAATTTACATCAAACGAAATTAGAGTTTAGCATTGTGAAAACCATTTGAAGTCGCTAAACTAATCTAAGTTCTGTTTTAAAAAAAAATGATAAATTATGTGTATTTTTTTTTTTTTTTTTTTATGTGAAATCCATTACAGTTATCCCACTTTTAGAAATACTTCCTTGTTTAGTAAATTTTAATTCGATGTTGATAAGCCCCTCAAAATGGAAAAATTATTATTTTTTCATTGTTCCATGTTTTTTACTGTAAATGATCTAAGTTAAAGACTTAAAAATTATTACAATATATTCTATTTTTCTAATTATAAGACATATGCAACTATTATATAAAACCATGTCTTATAAATAATAGACTCTAAAAGTATAATTGTTCGTTTAACTACATTTTTAATAGGGCTTGAAGAATCACTTAAACACCATTTCATATTTGTTGGGGTCGGGGGTCTTTCAAAATTAAAACACAAACCCTTCCCCGGTGAGGTTCCTCAAAGGTGAGAAAATTAAATTTTGGGAAAGAAGGAGAAAAAAAATTAGTAAATAAAATGAGATCTGTAAAACATTAAAGAAAAAACCAAATGCATACAAAAGAAAATAATATTAAATAAAAACACTCAATAAATCAAAAAATAGAAAATGAAAATCCCCTTCTAAATGCTTATAAATTTATTGAATAAAGAAAAAGAGATATAAAATTATATAAAAGTTGAGATAAACAATACTGGAAAGTTACGAGAAAAATAAAACATAAATACAACATCCAGAGAAAATAAAAAGAAATTAACCATTAATAACAAAATATGAATAAACTCAACTTCAAAAATTATAGATAAAGCTAGAGAAAAAAATAACTATCCAAAAAGAATAAAACTAATTTATAGGTGAAACAAAAATTAATTAATGTTCTAATGTCTTTGTGATGGTGAGAATATAAAACAGAAATATGAGCCAGGTTGGAGGTTCCACCTGGTTACCTTTCGACGTCTAGCTGTCGAGTAATCGATGGTGGAGTGATATCGATATGTATCGATCTCGATCGATTACTCAGCTGCGCCCAACAGCTAATCCTCGAAAATGGCACTAGGTGAGGTGTGGTGAGTCTGGACTGGTGGTGGTAGACTTCCACTACATGGGTCTAGTGTCAACAAGAGCTATCTCCAGACTGCCGCCCAGCTGTTTTATCGCAGTATTTGTGTCTTAATCCCTAAGACAGGGTATTACTGCTCGGCTTGTGTGTAAATACAACGCGATAATACATCGCAAAACAACCTAAAGCTACAAACAATATACAATTCTGAGACAATTATCCCTCAGGTTTCACCAAAAAAAAAATAAATAAAAATTTTCTTCATTAACATTTAAAAGGGTAAATATGGTGAGAGAAAAAAAGTAAGATCTGAACGTATGTGGCGTTAACAATACTGGTAGTTAATTTCTTTATTTTTTTCCCAAGTAATTATCGTTACATACGTAAAAATATGTATATATTCCGGGCTGAAGCCCCGTTTCAAATTAAATCCTGGAACCGTTAATTTGTAACAGAATATTAATATACATTTTTTTTTTTTTTTTTTACAATACTTGAGGTGAATCTGAATTTATTTTATAATAAACCCCCACAGTAAGTAATATGGACTTGAAAGCTAATTAAACAAGGAAGTTTTTCTAAACGTGGTGTATTTGTATATATCTGTTTGAGGGTGATAAAAAAATATCGCGAATAATTAACGATTTTTTAAAAACCAGAACGTAGTATCATTTATCCACTTAAACGTCCTCTTCAAATATTTTTAAAAATTACAAACTCTACTTTCTTTTGAAGTAAATTTTCTCCAGTTTAAATCAAATTATGTTTTAGTTATCGCTTCATATTCAACAAAAACTTTAATTACTTAAAAACTTTAATTTGTTTCCTACTGAAAATCGGGCCAATATTTAATATAAACTTTTTTGTGTTTTTTGAATTCTGCTATCACACATGTAAATACCTCTTCCTATTTAAGGGACATATTGTTTAAAAAAAAAAAAAAAAAAAAAAAAATACTGAATCCTAGTGATAGAAACTAACAATATATGCAAGTGAAGTTAATTCGTCAAATTTATTAGATTTTTTTTTTTTAATTTAATTTAATTTAATTTTTTTTTCTTCATAAAATTTTAAATATAACTGTTTACTAACTCATCACCCAATAATTATATCTAGAATAGTGGATTTACATGGGCTGTTTGTAGTTTAGTCAGGAACTTCTCGATGCTACCGCCAGATAGCAGTTGCACCTTCAATCGCGATAGACTGTTTGAATTTTGTTTAAACCAACACGTGGCTTGTCTAGAAGAAGAATGGTCCGTGCCACCACTGCTAAAGTAACGACCAGAAGCCTTGCTAGAAAGGCTATCATAGAAAATACCTAAATCATAACCTGTCTTCTCTAAATTAATAAACTGAACTCACGATCTGATCCGAGGGATATGGCCACGTCGTTCCAGAGGCCCATGGTGACTATCCTGTCGTGGTAGTAAGCGTGCTTCCTGTCCCAGAGCGGTTTCTTGGACCTGACAGCACGGATCAGCTTGACAACGTCCATAGCTCTGTTGAGACCGTGTCACACTAGCTGCGCTCGCTTCGCTCCGTCCGCATCGATCTTTCATCCCCACTCCTCGCTTCTGTTCAGAATTACCGTTCGTACATGGGTTCTCGTGCTTGTACATTTTAACTTATTGTACGAGGTACGAGGATCCATAAGCGCAGACTACGGGAGAGGCGAGGGAGACGATCCCTCTGCCTCCCCCAATAAAAATATTGAGGGGACGACAATATCGTATCGTCCCTTCCCCTCAATAGTTTGATGTAAAAAAAATTAAGATTGATAACAAATAAGATACATGAATGAATAAAATATGTTAACTAAGATCGATTAGAAAAATTCGACTGAGGTCTATAAGTAGTTACGTAACTATTTTTATCACGAACTAAAGATTCCTGTTATTTAAATTTTCATTTAAAAGGATTTTATGATTCATTCACCTCTCATTTGTACACCTCAATGATTTTCTGATATATTTTCTACGATAAATTTAGAAAAAATACATTAAAAATTTTTTTTTGGTATGTTAATATTGTAATTTTTAGCTGAACAAGTCATAGAAATGTACCGATGTTATGAACGATGTCCCCATCCCTTCCTTGTTTAATAGATACAAGTTGTAATAAATCCAATTGTTTAGCTCAGATATTTTCATGTATATCCATATGCACATAAAAAAAATCGACAACTTCCAAACAGATATACAATTGTGTACAATATAATACAAAATAAAATAATACACAATATAATTATTGTGGGTTTCACAATAATTATATTGATTTTGTACACATAATAAAAACTACTGCCATTATTTATTATTATTATTTTTTTTTTTGTTCTTCGCTCTTCCCCAGTCGAAATAGAAAGACTTCGATCAAGCCATAATAATGTTTCCTCCCGTTTATGTTGTATAATGATTTGTTTTTTTAATATTCATAGAAAGTCATCCAACAGTTTCTAAAAATGTGTTTACACGTTCTGTTAACCTTGTTAAGTATCTTAAATTGAACTCATTTCATTTCTTGGTCGATTAACTTGAAAGAAATAATTAAAAAGGCTTTTATAATATGTAAATTGATCTATTAAGCAAAGCTCTGATCTATTTGGTTATAAAAAAAAATAAATAAATAACACTGAACATAAAACCGGGTACTTCTTGTCTAGGGGGCCACTACTGACTGCTATCTCCCAATGTTTATAAACTGAACACTGATAACTCCCATAACGCAGTGATAAGCCGTCTCCTACTTCATATCTTCGTATTATTGTATTAAATTCGTATTATTGAAAGTGTAAACAGATACAAAAACAAATGTAATAACAACAAAAATACTTTTATTTGACGACAAATATATTAATGAAATAATAAAAAAGAACTTTAAGAAGATATGTACATATAAAACATCAAAATGAAATAATAAAAAAAAAACATATTTACATAGAAAAGATAAAATATAAAACATAAAATCTGTTTTATAAAAAGATAAAACATTCATCTGTTTCTCGGCAGACTCCACCTAACATCCACTGCTGAGGTAAAACTCTCCCCACATGATTTTTCCGTTTAGATTTTTATTCTTGGCCTGTATAACATGTCATGGGCACAAACCTCTCTTAGACATTTGTTCCACGTTACCATTGCTCCGTAGGATAGTTTCAGCTGCTTTTAAATTAATTTTAAAGCTGTTAAAAACGAAATCCTCAAGCCCTCCAACCATGTTCCTTTTCTTATTGAAAGTTTCTACGAAAGCATCTAAATTTGGGCTTCCTGGTTAACTTCATTTGATGACCTCGTTCACACAATTTCACGTCGGTAAGTACCCCAACAAAATGTAAAATAAACAAAATTAAAAATAATGAAAAATAAACACAAACGGGCCAAAAGTAAAGAAGTTAATAAGTGAACGTAATAAGGGAATAACTGAAAACTAAACAACGCAATAACTCAAAGGTTTGGCGGGATAAGAAGAGGGAGGTCATGTGATGTGACGTTAGATAAGATAGATAAGAAGTGAGGTTTCAGTCCGGCCCCCTAGACAAGAAGTACCTAAAATCGCACCAATTTTCAAGGAGCAAGTGTACGAGGTCTAAATTACGAGGATTTGTCATTGACGAGCGGAGACATTTCTTCTTTTTTATCTTTCAGTGGATGCCACTGCACATCTACAATCAAACTTTTTCCATGATTCAGAACAATTTCGAAAAAAAATAAAATGAAAACAATAACATTTTTTAGATTAATTATAAAAGATTATTCCCCACTCATCGGAGATATGTCCAGTTATGAAAACTAGACGGGCCATTTTAAAATTCTATGTATCAACTCTTTTTATTTAATAGTAGTTTGTCCCACCAAACTTTAATGTGAACAATTCAACTTCTTAAAGCTACCGTAATGCCTTCTAGCACCATCCTAAACATAGACTGCATGAGTTTTTTTACATTTTACTATCTGTACCATATAAATATACTCTTTTCCATAAAGAAAAATGTGGAAATCTGAACTATTCATCTTTGGGGATAAGAAAAAAAATGGAATTAATTTAACACCGATTGTTTTTCCAGCTATAAATCTTCCTAATATATCGCTAAAGTTAGTGCAAAAGGTGGTATGTAAAAATGGATTTTTTTTTATAGAAGAACATTATTTACATAAAAACCGATTATTTCTTTGATTTACTACTATAATTTCATTTTTAATTTCTCTCTACTATTTGCCTATTTGACAGATTAGTTATAATAGTTGCAGAATATAAAATATCATCTTCAGCGCAAATAGAATAAACATGCAAAATTGTTACATACGACCTTTTGCACTAATAGTAGCGATATTTTAGTATTAAATACTCATATTTTTTTTTTTACAGCTTTATTTTATTGTTATTATTTATATTGTTTACCTGTGCAGATATGTAAACATACGGACTTTTGTTCATGAATAATTTCATTCGTTTACTTTTGCTATTATTTTAATTCTTATATTAATGTTACTCAACTTCGTAATCTGATTATTTTTTGACTGACATTATGTGTCAGACAAATTTAAATTCTTAGGAGTCTAAATGTTCCAGAATTAAATTAACTTTTCTCCTTGTTCTTAAATATACGCTTTTGAATAAAATACATTCATGCACTCAAAATTAATTAGGAGATGGAATATGATAAAATTAATATAAATTAACTTTAGGCGAAATTGGACGACCCGTTTTTAAAGTATTGATGTGTTAATGAAAGTGTATATAATTTGACAAAATTGATATAGGACCATCTAGGTACCAATTCGCTACATACTTGGTGGACTTATCTTGTTGGATTTATCTTGAAAAAACTAGAACCTAACGAGGAAATTTTTGGTATCTTTGAAAAAAATTCAAACTATCAAAAAATGTCTCTGCACAAAACTCTGATTCACCTAACCCTTACATATGGAGCGGAGAAATGGACAATGGCAAAAGATACGTATCAGAAGTTGGCCACATTTCTGCACACACAGCAAAAGATCCTCCGAAAGATATTTGGACCGGTGTTAGTTGATGAAGAGTGGAGACGAAGAACAAATGAAGAGGTTTAATCTCTTTGGCGAGCCTGACGTTGTCAGTCCCATCAAACGATATCGTCTAAGATGGGCTAGACATGTTGCCAGGACAGAGGAACAGGAAAATCTTATAAGATTAATGACGGAGATAGTCCATGGTGAGGATGTTGGCCGCCCCCGACTTCAATGGATTGACTGTGTGGCTGAGGATGCGAGGAGTTTAGGAATCCACAATTGGATGAAAGCAGCGCAAGACAGAAACTTCTGCAGGTTGCTGGTTGACTGTAGCGCCAAACTAATAATTGAAAACAATCCAGTTACTTGTCACATCCACTTGATTGATTCCTTTCCTGATGGCTTCAGCACACAATTTGATCAAAAATTTATTTCAAGTAAACATTAGAGTAGTTTTAAAAATCGCATAAGAACACGGCATGTTCTATATGTCAATTACTGCATATGTGTGATAACAAAAACAGCCTTGTATCCTCTTGGTCATTAGCTGGCGCTAATTATTTTTCTTTTGTTTTTTGCAAGTTTAATTTCGGCAGATAAATATTAGGAATAAAGTAATTGAAAGTAGTTGCTTTAAAGTATTATTAGTTCACTTAAGTAAGTAGATAATACTTCATAAAGTTTCAAAATGTATTTATTTTTTCTAAATTCCTTATTATTGCTTTCTTTTCGTGAGCATTTTTATTTAACTATTTGTTAAATTTCGGATCATATTTTCTTTACAGAAGAAATAAGCATAAAAAATAATACGGTTAATATATAAAATACTATATCACATAATTGTATTTCATATATTTACCGCACCCCCGATCAACTTCGTCTGAAATTAGAATCTACGTCCAATCATCTTCTCACCATTTTTTATAATATAATGTAAGTGTTTATATATAAAATTTAAAAGGGATATTACATCCCTTTGATATATCCTCAACCATTGGATTTATCAAAAATGTGAACTAGTCCATTTTCATAGAAATTTAATAATACTTGAATATTGCCCTGAACAATCTTTACGATAAACTTCATAGGATTTGAGATATTCTCAAAATAATAATTTAAAAAAGTCAGTTTTCAGTCTTTCCCTCTCTAATAAAAAAATCGACCTTAGAAACTTCAGGTATTTTTATCAGTAAGGGAAAGATAATAAATGATTTGTGACAAAAATAAATACTTTTATAAAGAATAAATATAAATATTATTAAAAAGAATCTTTTAATAATAATTCGAACGAACAAAAATGTTACAAAAACTGTTTCATTTTCAAAATAATATCATCTACTACAACTAATACAATACAAAATACAATGATTGGGAGAAATTTTTGCTTTAAGTGGAAATACTATAAATATCTTCGTAACCATTGATGATATAAAAAACATATAGGACTATTTCTATAGAGATTTTAAAGAACTGCAATATTGTACTGAATAATTTTTGAAAAAAAATCATAGCTTTAGAAATATAAAAAAAAAAAAATCAATTTTCTGTCCTCCCCTCTCCCATCAAAACCCTTTGCTGCATTGTTTGGGACTTTAAACCAGTTATTAACGGGATGTTAATGAACAATGTCTGACAATTTTAATTTTTTTTTTTTTTGGATGTTAACTAGTACTACTAGTTTCAATGGTCATTTTAATGTTAAATAATCTCATGAGTTCAATTAAATTTTAAAATGATCTTACCAGAAATAAAAAAAATAAGACTCCAGGTTTACTGTTGGTAAGGTATTGTTACTATTCTTGATTATTGATGCATTAAAGTTATATTTATTAATGAAGTTACACTAAAAGAAAATTAGAACCTTTACAATACACCTAATATAATACTAATGATGTGTGTGTATTTGCTTCTTTTTAGGTACATGATGATCATCAAATCGCAGTGAGTGTTAAATTATTTTAAATTGGTTTTAGTTTGAGGGATTATTTTCTGAAATGTTTATGGTGATATAGACATATTGCTGAAGTTGATTTTATTTTATAAAGAAAAATAGTTATATTTTGCCTAATTTATTCAGATTATGTTTATTACTGCCAGGCTGGCCAAAGCCTTATTATGTAATGTACTAAAATTTAAATAAATTCTAGGAGACTTTGTAATGCTAAATTGCCATTTATTGATTTTATTTTTGTAAAAATTAGCTTTTATCTATTAATTTTCGAGTTTATTATTTTACGTTTGTGAAGATTTGATGGAACGGTTAGTCGGAAATTTTATCAGCAGTCATTAAATTATCACAGTTTTCAATCCGTAAAAAACCAAGGAATATTTATATAACAGTGTTGTAACAAAGTTGTAATTGTTTAACACGTAATTTTTTAATCCTCTCATTAATGATGAACTACGAAGCAATAGAAATATAAAGGAAATTTGATACCCAATAAAAATTGTTAACCGTTAAGAAATAATTAAATTTAAATTTTTAAGATAGGAAAATTACCATAAAAATAATTCCTCAATGTTTCTTTTTTTTTATTATAAATTATTCATATAATATTCATTCATTTTACTGACCATACCGGATTTTTAAATTTTTAATAAATTAATACATGTTTGCTTCTTTTGCCTAGTGCAATCGTTAACTAAATTATTTTATATAAAAAATAAAAAAATAAATAATTCAATACATTGATTATATTTGTTAAATTGATCGTTTTTAACTCAACTCCGGTATGGTCTAGTGGCTAGGATACCTGGCTCTCACCCAGGAGGCTCGGGTTCGATTCCCGGTACCGGAATGTTTTTTTATAAATTCTTTTTTTACAGAAATACACGTTTTGTTGTACGAAAATTTAATAAGTAAATAACACTAATTTAATTATATTTAGAATATTTCAGAATCATTTTGTGAAATATTATTAGTTACATTAGAAACGACTGATACTTTTATAATTATGTAGAAATGGTAATTTTGATACTATTTTATTAGCATGATTAGCATTATATCTTGCCTTTTGATACTGTATCTTAGTTTTCTACTATGCCCGCTGGTGGAATCTTCTGGAGAGAAGGGGGAAGGAGAGAGGTATGAAGCCCCCAAAATGGAAAAATGATTTTTTTTTGGTTGATCGATATTTGTTACAACGAGTGTTCTAAGCTTAATATTAAAAATATCACAGTATGTTCTATTTTTTAAAATTATAAAGCATATACCTAGGTACAGCTACTAAATATGTTATGTTTTATGAAAACATAACTCGAAAATTGTGAACGGAACAATCCAAACTTATAAAGCCATGAATATCTTACATACAAGTGAACAGTAAAATTGCCAAAGTTTCGCCAATTTAGGCATCACCAGGGCAGAAAAAAAAGAGCACATATACGCAGGAAAAAAAAGAGATAAAAAAAAAAAAACAATAAGGAAAAAAAATTGAAATTTCTGTAAGCCACCCAAAAAAAAATTTAAGAATGTAATTCTTAAGGAGAGAGTTTAAGAGAGTATAAGAGTGTATTTTTGAATGGCTTGATGAGATGTCAATAGCAAAAACAATTTTTCCTCCTTTTTTTTATTACTTCATTGTTCGTGTGATAACATTTTAAAAAAAAATTCTAGAATAACTAAAAACCATTTAATATAGATAATTAGTTTATTTCTTTCTTTTTTTTTTTTTTTTTTTATTGATGATATTTACAACTTTATTACAAGTAAAAATACATTCAGTAAATGTGAACAAAAGAATATAATAACATGAAGTCACTTGTTGAGAAACTACCCACTGGTAGCATTCTAAAAATGTGTTTACAAAAGGAGATCTCGAGGCCATCTTCTTTTCAGACGCCTCAGAGGGTTCTTTTTTTTTAAATGTAAATACCATTATATATATATATATATATATATATATATATATATATATATATATATATATATATATATATATATATATATATATATATGTAAAGTTTTGGGACTGAAGCCCCCAAAATTAAATTCTGGATCCGCTAACGACTATACCTACTACTATTTCATCAAATATGTAATTTCATGATGCAATATGCGGGCCCTCCGCTATGTAGGAAAATTTTAAAAATTTCTAAAATATTTCTGGCTTATGAGGAATTACAGAAATTTCCGCAGTCGAGAGATGTATAATTGAGGGTGCAAAAATGTAATACAACAATGTTTAAAATGCAAATGAGAATATAAGTTCCAAAATATCCTTAAAAACTTTCTCTTTTTCTCGAAATTCCTATTATTTTTATTTTATTTCTTTCTATTTTTTTTTTTAGCTTATTTTCTTTTCTTTTTCTTTTTTGATTAAACAAAAATATGTATTTTGAGAAAAGTATTTAATGTTTATTTTTTTTTTTTTTAACGCCAATATCATGAAATGTGCATGCCGATTTCATCAAGTTGATTTATTTTCGTGCTAGAAGTTAAAAGCAAATTTTTTTTTGTATTGTCTCTCCATTGACTTGTTCTTTTGTGGTAATGAATAGTTAAACCATCTTAATAAAGTTTTCTGTTTCTTATTAATTCCATAATTTATTTATTTACATTTCATCAAAATGATAATGATTTCAATTGAATAATGACATAATACTAAATAATAGCCGATTCACTTCTAATGTTTCTAAATTAGCGACCAATGAAAATTAGATTTAAAAACTAAAAATACTTATCCAGCACATCAGCACATCTTATTCGTCATATCTTTATTGTTTAAAATCATCTACTTTATTTTTTAAGTTAAATGAGATTTTATGGTTTTTAATAAAAAAAATAAATAAAAAAAAATTGTATTTTTTTTCTTCTTTTTATAGAGGGCCCAAAAAAAAAGACCTTTTACCAAATTGCATAGGTACATCACAGCCGTTTAGCATCTTCCTCATGTCTCGATTTTAATTCGTCGATATTAGTACGAACATTGAAAGGACGTGACCTTAGTTTTTCAAACTAATTATCGTGCTACAAAATATTTTAAAAAATAACAGTTCAAAAGTAACAGTGCTTTTCTAGTGCAATGTATGTCTGATCATCGACCGAACTTGTTTTTGAATTAATCCAATACTGAAGTAAATTTTCTGCAGAAGAAGGAATCAAAGTATCACTACAAGAAAATGCTATAAATTTTTAAAAAAAAAAAACTTTTATTATGATATTTACAACTCTATTAGTATGAATACATTAAGTAAATGTGTACAGAGCAATATACTAACATGAAACACGCTTGTTGAGAAACTACACATTGGCAGCACTCTAATAATTTGTCTATATGAGGAGATCACGAGGCCATCTTCTTTTCAGAAGCCTCGGAGGGTTATCAGGAATCGAAGAGGAAGCAAGATTAGAAACAAGAGGATTCGGATGGTTATGAAGTTTATTATGGAAGGATAGGTATCTGGATTAGGCCAAATCGGAAACATATGGAACATTGAGGTCTTTATGGATTATTTTCTTTGTGACAAAGTAAGGAGCATTGCGGATTTTACGAAGGATTTTGGATTGTAAAGATTGGATACGAGAGGAATTTGATGTTTAGTGGAGTCCCACAGTTCAACTCCGTAAGTCCAAATAGGTCTTATTATAGTCATGTATATGAGTCGTTTGTAATTAATGGGAAGTTTAGAGCGTCTGTCTAGTAAGTGTTGGAGTAAGCGGAAACGTCGAGCAGTTTCTTGTCGTTTCAGTCTTGTATGAGGAGCTATAAATTCTGAGCTTTTCTTTTGTTAAATTAGATCTATGGGTAATGAGTGAGGAGGGAAGAAGAATAAAGTTAATCTGAAACCTATCCATAGTTTCAATGACAACCAGAGTATGGAATGAGTATTTTTAAACAGGAAATGACTAATGTTCTAATGTTGAATTTTGCCTCGTTTCGATAAAAAATTATCGATTCGTGGTTTACGAATAGTTTACATATTACGTATTCGACAAGAATACGTAATGAGCATCAGTTGGATAATGACTCACAGTCCGTCTCTACTGCCTTAATCCCGAATCGAAGAGAGACTCAGTGGATGATCCGAACGTCATATCTTAGCTGGGGTACTGGATCGTGGGGTGCCCGGGGGCGGCACGTGGCTGGGGTAGGTCGCGGCGGTCACCGACCCCCCACTGCACTCTGCCGGCCTATACGGGCATTATTTACATCACTGTCTACCGCCTCTCTCCCAATACATCACCATTTGTAACGAAGTGGAAGAAATCGATACGATATCCCCTTCTGGAGGATAACCAATAAAAAAGGACTTCTATGAAACCATACAATAAAATATCTGATACAGTTAATTAATTGGAGCAAAATTACAAAAAATGGACAGTTACTAAATCATGGCGGCCCCAAATTGATATGAGTTTTTAACATCAAATTAATCTACACGCCATTCCTTCTGATTTTATTCCGATCTGAATTAGTAGAAATAAACACCAAAAGATAAAGCTGTATGTTCGCACCTCTCCTAACCTTCTGAATGATCAAAGTCATTTTTCCGTAATATTTAAGGGTATCCAGAAGGATATAGTTCAGCTATAAAAATTTTAATGAGGAGCACATTTTTACGGAGTTTAGAACGAAGCACATTATTACGATATTGTGAATTGTATAATAGTAGATTAACGGTATGGACTATAGTGAATAATTGAAGAGAGGTTGGCTGGGGTGTTCAGTCAATATACAAAGTGAAAATAAATAAATAATATTTATTTTTATTTTCGCCGACGTTTCGGCCCAAAGTTCAGGCTTTATATAAAAAAAACCCGATGACCTCAAAACCTGGGTGTCTATCACTGGAGCAAAATTTCTCAAGTTGTTGATAGATAGTAAACTAATTGACTGTATTGTTAAAATAAATTCGATAAAAGACTAAATTTGCTGTCACTTCACTTAAACCGATTAGCAAAGATCCACCGTCAGAAGTAAAGTTATGGTTGACAATTTATTTATTTATTTATTTATTCAGAAATATTACAATCTGTCACAAACAACGCGGAACTTACCGATGACTTGGCTCTCGGTAGAGATCCGCCTCTCGGCTCTTCCAATCACCGCGGCTACTTCCAAATTGGAGTACTCTCCCTCTTTGGTTGACATTAATGTTGAGAATTTCTCTTAAAGTGTCTATTACCGGTACATTTACCTTATATAGATTCTATTACCATTTTTCCCGAAACGTTCGTTTTTTTTTTTCTCACAAAGATCGATACTACATCGCTAGGCCTTAACTATGCATGTTAATATATGTATTAAGATATTGGTAGATGATTTGAAAACAAAGCCTTGAGTCCATCAAATAGAAGCGGATAATTAACCAAAAAACTGTTCGCACAATCAGACATGTCTGTAAAATATGAGCCAACATAGATGCAAGCAATAAACTGCACCAGAAAATTATAAATTGTATTTTAATTAAGGAGAGCAGGGTAGCTCAGTGGGTGAGGACTGATTTGCGGAGCCGGCTGATGACTTAGTAATTTTTCATCTGCCGTGGATCGATCCTTTGATCCGGAGACCCTTCTGGGACACACCCAGGCTTTATAAAGTGGGTACTCTTAATTAAATAATTAATTAAGGGGGGAAGCCTGGCGGTTGAGCGCCATCACTTCATTCGCGCCACACAATTGAGACCCAATCACCTCCCTGCACAACCGTTATCCTTGATACAGTACTTTCCCTAAACAGTACTGAACCCAAGACCCTTCATGGGTTGTAGTGCTACAATTTTTTTTTTTTATTTTAATTATGCTATTCCCGCATAATATTTTTCTGTGTTAAAACCGTTAAAAAAATCGTGGAAAAAACATGATTAAGTACCGTAATTTTTCATGAATCTCATGAACGACTGTAAAATCAAATGAATTAGTTAACCGGAATACCTTTCGACTAGATTAACTATGACCGAGCGTAATATGTCAACCTTTCGTTTTGCTCCTGGTAAGCTTCTTCATCTTCTTAATGACTGATAACATGAATATATATCGTCCCACAGCTATCCTATCACTTTTTTTTTTATACTCTTTAATTCCGACACATAGTTTCTCCCCGCTGTTAACCATTTTTCTTCTCTCACTTTCCTGCACCGTCGTAGAAACCCCCAGGACCTAGTTGGAGCTCCCAGTTTTTTTCTATTCGGCCATCCGTCTTGCATCCGACTGACCGGCCAGATGATTATCTAAGAGTTTCTCTAGAACCGTTTAGAAGAACCTTTCATTGCATAAACCTAAGACGGCGAAGGGTCTTCTGACGTTTTTGTATTTGCTTGAAAAAAAAATCCCAGATTAATACTCTTTGTTTAATATTGTCAATGTCCTTTATTCTGACGGAATGTAATGTCATTCAGTGAATGAGGTTATTGGCAAAAATAAGATTAAATTGAATTAAAATTTGAGAGTGGATTCTCATTGAATTTGAGTGTGAAAATATTCATTTAAATTCTTATGAAGTCGCGAATCTTATGATGGAATGTTTTAGCATATCTAACTACTAATATAATAATAGTGAAGAAATTTTCAACAATTCAAAAAAATTCGATATTGTTGGGAAGTTGGTTGGGGATTGCAGACTGAGGGAACACGCAAATGAAAAAATCTGGTGTGTCCACTCACACGACTTTCCTGCATATACAGTTTTTATATCTTTAAATATGGCCATTAAGAAATTAAAAAAAATTAAATTAAATTTATTTTTCCTGAAAATTGGTCAAAGAAAAGATTTGAGTACGATTTATTTGATAAACGAAAGCAATGTAATCGGCTTGTGGAAGATCAGCGTAAAATAATTCAATACCCTCTAATATTGCTGAACAAAAACAATTTAACTTTAGCCCAATTTTGTCAAACAATAATATCTATTAAACGTCGAGAGGAAAGTGAAACTTGTGTGATGCGGGCAACAGATTTTCTTACTTTCACTTACTTTTCTTTTTTATCTCTCATTCACCCCTTCCTGACACCATAATAGGAACCCGTAATCTCACATACGAAATTGGATAGTTGTAACTTCGTTAATAGTTGTCCGAAATGAACGATTATTATATAGTTTTGTAGGGAATTTCATTACCTTTTAAAAAAAACAGGCTAAACAGTGTGTTTCCAAGGGGGTCTGAAACGTATATATCCGTCGCAAACCGCATGTCGGAAATTTGACCCGATCGCAATACTTTCCTTACCTAGTATAGGTAGGAAAGTAAAACATCGTGTGCTTTTGAACACACGATATTAGTGAAAACATCAACAAGACGAGATTAATAATAGGAAATATAAATTATAAATATTAGCTCATTATAAAGAGGATGAAATGCTGGATATTTTAATCCATATGCAAAAACATTTCAATTAATCGACTCCAGCCGACTTTACCCGAGCGTTACACATCGGAGATCTGACGGCTCAATCTAATTCACTCTCCACACAAAAAATTCAAAACGCTCCTAAAGAAGTTTTCACTTCAATAAAACATTTTTTGATTATTTTTTTTTTAAATAAAAGATTTTTTGGTCTTATAGAGCATTTCGTAAGAGCAACAACCCCAATGAAAGTCTTTGTGCAGAAACGTTGGTAAAAAAAAGTATATACGTGATTTATTTATTTTTACTTCGCTGCTTGTGACTGAACACCCCCACCATCCTCGCTTCAATATAACCATGACAGTTAATTATCCACAATCATAAATGATTTAAAAAAAAAAATCCGTTATGTAATAAAACAGATACAATTAAAAATCTTTTATTTTTATATGTATGTTGTTTCTGACTGTAATTCCGAACCGACTTCCCAATAATATTAATATAATAATATTCCGTGGCGTAGACTCCTTTTTATCAAATTATAACACTCACTTAAAACTTCGTGAATGGCTTCATTTCATCGTATCCTACAACTTTTTTTTTATTTAAGAAAATTCTCGAAAACGTTTTCAATCTGGAGATCTGTTAACTTTGTTAAATTCATGAGGTACTAAAAACTCATGAACCGCCTATTTGCTTTTTACGTGAATAATAACATGATAACATTACAAAATAGGGAAAAAAGGTTGCAAAAAAAAAAAAAAAAACACACATGACCTCCAAACCCAACATGTCAAAAATAACGAGGTTATGTAGTCCAATATTTTTGTTCTCGTCCTTTTTTCTCTATTTTGTGATAAAATTGTCCTAAGATTCAAGTGGAAAGCAAACGACTATTTATGAGTTTTTAGTATTTCATTGAAATAACTATATTTATCGATTTTCAAATTGAAAACTTCTCTTGTATTTCCTGAAATTTACGAAGATAAAAAACTGTAGGTTAATCTTTTCACAAAGTTTAAGTCGATTGTTAATAATTTGATATAATGGGATCTGTACCACGGACTATAAATTTCTCGACTCCATTAAACCTCAAATTAATATTTCCTAACTCACTCTCAAATTATCTTTAAATTTAATGTTATTTTTGATAATGAAGTTGGTAGTGCGAATAAGGGCATTTTAAGATTTTTAAACTATTTTATTAAATGATATTATATTCCGTTACAATAAATTACATTAGTAATAATAATCAAAGTTATTTTTATTTTTAAAGATATGTTATTTTTCCCTTAAAATAAATACTTGTTTGATGAAATTAGCATATCGGCATGTCATCGGAAGGGGAAAGAGATATTATACATTTGATTTTATGTTCAAAATACGGAATCATATCACATGCTTACAAATACCAAAGATGGAATTCTAATTGAATAAATAAGAATGGAAATTTTTTTTAATAATTAATTCCGACTCCGACAATGTAATAAATATTATAATACAGTATAAAAGAACATTTCATTTTATAGCTTCTAGTAATTAAACTGATGAAACCCATTAACTTTATAGTTTGCGTTTATTTTTTTTTAAATTTAATTGCTAGGAACTCATACGAAGTTTTTATTTCATTTTTTATTTTAATAACCAATGATACTGATGGTTATTATTATCCTTCCATATACTGCAATGAAAATTATTTACTAAATAAAAATTTTCATGTTATAGGTAAAGTGATAAGTGATTTGATATCGGAATTAATAATAATTTTTATGATTTTTTTTGTTTAAAATTATTTTTTTTTATTTCCTAAAATATTTATTTCGAGATAATTTACTCAGTGGAATATTAGATCTGTAAATGAAGATCTTCTCTACACATTATTTTCTTGAATATGATGAATTAATCATGCATTAAAAATATTAGTGCAAAACAAAGAAACAAAACAAGATTCCATTATTTAAAAATAATAAGCCTGTTCTTAGTTAAGGACATGAAACATTATCGTAAAACGACTTGACATTTATTTTACCGAACGTATTGGCCTTAAGCCATTATTGCCTTACGAGTAATGTCATTAGAGAATGATAACAGTTTGAGGTCAGTTTATTTCGTGTTATCAGTACTGCTGTCCGAAAATGCACCTGTGTCCTTACTTCAAGGCGTTTCACCATTTTATTCTATAGGAAGTAGATAAGCTTTACAATAATCTTGCTAATGCATTATTTTTATGACAAATATTATGCAATAATTTTCATTCTGAATATTTTTTTGTTTTGTTTACATATATACATGTATAATGGTTAGGATACGATCAGCGCAAATGAACGCCTACGAAAACTGGACTCTATAAACACTACCTTGAAAAGAATTGAAAGATTTGAGAGGAAAGTCCACACTACAACAGGAGAGATTTGGGATCAGAGTCTTAACGTATGGAAGAGAAGAACTGCAGAAGGCAATAAAGAACTGTTTGCTAAAACAGTTCAATCAATATCTTACGATAAAACGGCGAGGAGGTTAAGATATGCGGGATTGCTAGAAGGAATCCATCAGGAAGACAACAATGAATACAAGAACAGTTAGTAAGAGAACACGCAAAACCCCTAAAAGGAGACGGATAGATGAAGTCAACGAATATGCAAATAGTAGCTCAAAATAGGCAGTGATAAAGCCGGTTCTTTAAGCCGTTATAAGATTTACAAGATCTGGAAAACCATAAAAAATATATATAATAATAATAAATAAATCAAAATAAGATGTGGATAATATATCTTATTTTGTGTAAATAGTGAAATTCAATTTAGTGAAGAATATTATTTTTATAATAATAGACTCATACCAGACTGAAACGCCAAGAAACTGCTCGACGTTTTCGATTACTCCAGCACTTTCTTGACAAAACTTCCAATTAATTACATAAGACTCATATACATGACTATAATAAGGCGTATTTGGACTTACGGAGTTGAGCTATGGAGCTCCACTAAACAATCGAATGCCTCTCTTATCCAATCCTTACAATCCAAAATCCTTCGTAAAATCCTTAATGCTACTTACTTTGTAACAAATAAAATAACCCATAAAGACCTTAATGCTCCATCCGTTTCCGATTTGGCCAGATACCTATCCTTCCATAATAAACTACAGAATCATACCAACCCAGATATATTACTAGAATACTACCATTGGGTAGTTTCTCAACAAGTGTTTTCATGTCATTATATCCATATGTTCAAATTTAATGACTGTATTTCTTTTTTTTTTTTTTTGGAATCTTTTTTATTGAGAGAAAGAAAAAAATACATTTTGCCTCAATTAAGGGCATTGAGTATTTATGATGAATGAAGTACAATCATACCATATATACAAGATTATAAGAAAATAAAATAAAATAAAACTTGGAGTAACAGAATAAATCAAACTGATAAACATTAAATTAAAAAATAAAAAAAAAAATAAAAATAACTAAATAAATAAAAAAATAATAAATAAAAACACATTCAAACTTATTTACAATATTTACAGTCAGCCGAGGGAGCTCCGAGTCGGGCCTTTTCCCCCACTTGTGGAGGACAAGGCAAGACTCCAAGAGATCCCAGCGCTTCTCTCTCAGCCGGATCACTAGAATGGGAATCCAGTGGAGACTGAGAGAGGGCACTAAAGCCACATACGCTCATGACTTGTATTTCTTTAATGCAGTAGTAAATATCATTAACAAAAAAAAAATAAAAAAATACTAGAATTAAAACAATACATGCATCAAAAATGGAAAAATGGCCGTCCGTTTCGATAAAACGATATTATATTCGTGGACATCCAGTTTATTACTTTGTTGGAGTATTTGACGATAGTTTTGGAAATGGATTTTCGAAAGGTTTTACTTAAATACAATATTAAAGTTCATAGCGTAATCAATTTAAAAAAAAACATGCTATTCTACGCATTTATATCATTCTAAATTATTTTAATATTATTTGTATGTAGTGTTATAATTTAAAACTTTATTTACTAGAACGAGTTTTATCTTATGTATAGTCTCTTGAATCGTCTAGTGTTTTAAGTGTCTGTAGTTTTGAAAATTTTTCATTTCAGTATTCATAATGGATGATTTCCATTAATTTTAGAGGGAAAAATTTCAATTGGAATTAGTTTTTTTTTAAATTAATACTGGGTATTTGAAGAGGTTAGAATGGTCGTAAATTTAAGTAAATTGCGTTTTTGTCTATAAAAAGAATATTTCGTTAATGTACATTAATGGTGTATGCATGTTATTCATATAAAGTTACTGTACTAAGTATTTAATTAAATAATACATGTATAAAATACATATACCATTAAAGAAGATTTATGAAATATCTTAATTTTCTAAACAAAAACTGAAATTGATTTTCACTGCTGTCATTCTCACCCTCTCCCTTATGAAAATTATCACTTACTTTTTCGGTAGATATAATTTAGAAATGGAAAAAAGTAAACCTTTTATCTTTTTAAATTAACAAAAGTTATTTCCAGTGTCTAGTCAGAGACTTACTTCATTTCTTTTTTTTTTTGTTGTTCGAAGTAAAATGGTTTATAAACATTGGGTTCAATGGACAATTATTTTTATGATTCACTTTATATTAAAAAAAAAATTACCTCCCCGGCGGGGAATCGAACCCCGGTCTCCCGCGTGACAGGCGGGGATACTTACCACTATACTACCGAGGAATCATGTCAAATTCACGAAAATTATGCTATTTAAATTTGTTTAAAAATAAAAAATAAAAAATTGAAAACTGAATGTACCTTAGTTCACCAAATACTAATGATATTTTATCCTCTTCGCAGCAGCAATCGATAAATTTACAACCAATCACGTTATGGTAGAGTCTGTTCGGATCCAGGATTTAATTTTTTTGGAGGCTAGCCTGAAAGTTTTATATATATATATATATATATATATATATATATATATATATATATATATATATATATATATATAAACGGGCGGATCTACGGGGGAGGCTTTCGGGCTGAAGCCCCCCTCCCCTCCCAAAAATGGTAAAATATAGCCATGTTTTATCGTAAAAAATATTTAAAAAGTATCTCTTAAAGTATTAATGTTTGTGCAATTACATTTAAAAGGGCTTTAGGAATCACTTAGACACCATTTCATACAGGTAGTTAGTTTCTTTCTTTTTTTCCAAAGTAATTATCGTTATTTTTATGAAAAAAAAACAGCTTTCGGGCTGAAGCTCCCCCTCCAAAATTAAATCCTGGATCCGCTACTGATCAGGACCCTAAACACTGTGCTATATTAGTTAAGCAATGGCTGCTTTATAACTGCCCCGAAGGTATAACTCAACCAAAGTCACCAGGCCTTAATGTGATAACCTGTAGGCGATTATTTTGTCTCTCACTGTACCTTAAGACGAAGTTTGCTATATTTTACTAACAATATCTAATAAATAATTTCTGATAAAAAAACAACAATAAAAGTGCAAACAATTAAGAATGAAAAAAATGAAGAAACGTATTCTCATGAAGTGTCACTATCCAGTGAACGTACTAGAGTAGGGTCTATAAACGCTTCCCCAATAACTGTTGTATTGTTTTATATAATAACTCTTATATATTATATAATAACTGTTATATAATGTTAACACCATAATATAAAAGTATGATAATGATGATTTGTAACATATATTGCACATTTGCCCTGAGATATTGTAGTGACGATACTGGCATTGGCCATTCATTGCTAATAGATGTGACCTCCTTTATTTGGGCCAATATCTATAAATTGGTGGCGACCAAAGAGCAACTCGCATCGTTAGTTTGATTCATCGCGTTATCTTCTCATCCAAAATGATTCCTACGTAGTGTTGCCCAAATGTGAGGCGCAGACGAGTCTTGGTCTTGCAAACTCAGTTTTGGTTATGGTCTTGGCCTTGCGCAAGAGTTTCGCAGCAGTCTTGCAGTTAATTATCAGCTTATTTCTACAAAGATATTACTGTAATTTTTTGGATAAGAGAAACCTAACTAAGTAAAAAACGTAACGAATGAAAAACTAGGGGAGTTAAATGCAAAAGTATATTGTTTATACCAATTCTTTAAATATATTCACTAAGATTTTCAAGTATTAGTAACTATTTTTTCTTAATTTTTATTTAAAAAATCATTTTAAAATTTTTTTTTGTCAGTCCTGTTCTTGGTCTTGCAACAGTTAGGCGGCCTTGGTCTTGGTCTTGCAAAGTGCAAAACCAAGACCGATTTTGGGCAACACTATTCCTACGGGAAGTCTTTTGAAATTTTGAAATACCCTTTTGCCACTTATTAAAAAGGATGACTCATCTACTGATGGTAGCTCTTATGTCAACAGACACCAGATGTGTAGATGGGTTTTGGCGGCGTAACCTCGGAGACGAGGGCTCTTAGTAATGTACAGTCCCATCCTGCTAAGGTAAACATCAGAGCTTTATAAAGTGTGTGCATTAGGGTTCTGCTCCCCTTGGAGTACTAATATGGAGGCCCTTAAGGTCTAGTACTTTGGCGTTACATTAGGTCGGTTTCACATGTAAGGAAAGAGCTAAGGCTGCACTGTTTACCAGTCTGATGTTTAAAGTTTCTCAGACCCTTGGATATAATGGATATAAAGGGTACAGTGTGGCTCATAATACTTGCGCGAGTGATACTACGTCTGGAGGGTGATGGGTTGAGAGGGGAGAGGGGAGAGTGGTCATGATCTCTTGTTTGGATATATCAGTGGTTGGTGTTGTGATTGATACTTTACTGATTTTTAAATTCAAATGTTCCGTTGCATTACATATAAAAATAATATTAAAGATGAAAAGGAATAAAAAAATTTAATTGTGAAAATATTAATATACAATAGTGTATATAGGTATGCATGTGGTTTTTGCTTAGTTTTAATTTTCTTATTTTTAGGTTATTTTATTTTATTTATTGTATATACTTTTTGATTATTATTTATTGTTATTTTGCTTCTATTTATTTTATATATTTTTTACATATAGTGTGAATGTTATCCTACCTTACTATAACTAGTGTCCATGTGATAGATTGTTGTAATACTCAATAAATAAATAAATATATATATACAATGACTCACAGTGAAATTGATACACCTTGTAGAAAAAACAAACTAAAATGCTTACAATAAACAAATAAAACCAGAACCTCTTTAACAGATTTATTTATAATCTCAATTTAAATATGTACAAATTCAATAAAATTAAAATATTCAACTGTGTTTATTTTTAAAAATGAAAAAAAAAAATGGACAATTTTACCTCACAGTCAAAATGATACACCTCACTTATTATCCTTTAATTAATATTAATTTAGTTTAATACCTTTTAGGCAAGCTATTATTTTCTATCACTTGTGAATTCTGGGTTTAGCTTGTTCCTCTCTTCGAGGAGATATGTTTTTAAGTCTTCTTTGCTAGAAATTTCCTGTTTATAATTTCTATCTCCAATTTCGTACATTAAGGTCTGGTGACTTTCGGTGAGTTTTTGTACCTTTGGAGCAGTTATTAACTGGCTTAACTAACATGGCAGAGTGTTTATAATAATAAATTCTTGTTTTAGCTCCGGTTTTTGTAAATTTCGAAATTTCTTTCGTTTCTTCTCAAAATATGAACTTGTTTATAGACTATACTATGAGAATACTTGGACTATAAAGTGGAGATTTCCTACACCCATACACCCAAGAA